TCTTCAAGTCCTTTCAGCCATAAGTTCAAGAAATCCATAAATGTGGTTAGTGATGGATTAAAGCTTGGCCCACCAGAACATTTCTATGAGTGTCAAATAGACCACAACCCTTCTGGAGTTGGTTAAAGAAGAGGTCCCTGATTGAAGTCATGTGTTGAGAGTGGTGTTTTGGCTGGTGTATTCCTTTGTCTTTCAAGGCTCAGTTGAAACATAGGTGACCCCCATCACCACCTTGTCTCCTAAGTTGTCTCCTAAGTTGAATTTGATGTCTCTTTTAATGGCTGTTGTGAACTCTTCACTGATCACCCTTGACTTATCCTCTGTCTACAAATGGGCCCCACTAGACTGTAAGCTTCCTGATGATCAAACCCTTGCCCACCTTACCTCTCTGTATCACTGGGACCATCATAGGGTAAGAGGGGCAGACCAAGGGCTCAGTGGATGCTATCTAAATTGCTGGAAGAATTAGCTGGGAGCAAGTACATCTCAGGTAGCAAATTCTTCAGGAACTGACAGTGTGGGCAGCTCCTTGAGCAGCCTTCCTCAGCCACCTCTTACTTGGTGGCCTTGATTGCTGGCAGACTACATAAATTCCTCACTGCACAGCAATCTCAGTGTGATACTCATCTGCATAGCATCCTCCATCCGGAACAGGAACAGCCCTGAGCTGTGGGCACGAATACTAATGTGCCATGTAAATGCCAGCCCTGAGAGTAAGAGTCTGGACTGTCAATTAGCTCCCCCCAACACAGCTACTGTGCCCAGCCCCCTCATTGTGGGCCAGCCCAGCAAAAGAGGAGGCCACAGAAACCAAAATCAGCCTAAAGAGCCACTTGTCAAAGCTGCATCTTGTGGCATCCCAGAATGAGGGACTGTACAAAGTGAGTGGAAGAGACAGCCAGCCTGGCCTCCCAACTCCTGGGCATGCTTGGGAGGAGCTACAGTGTTCTTGGGAACCCAGAGGCTAGTTGCTTCCTAACTGTCACTGTTTCTGGAGTTGCTGTATCATTTTTTCCTTCCTCTGGCCAGGCCACATGTTTGTGTGCTGTGGTGTCCTCTAAGCCAAAACGTAAGCTCTTTGGAGTCAACCAGTCTGACCCAGGGTGGCCACCCTGGGAGGGAGGAGTGAGCATCTCCTTTCCCTACCTTTTTTCCCCTCCTGAAGTTGTAGTTTCTCCTTGTTTCTCTTCCTTTCCCTGCCTCCCTTGCTCTCCTTTCTGATGGGATAAGAAGTTGGCCTCTGAAGATAGACAGAACTGGATTCAAACCTATACTCTGCAGATCCCTCCATGTTTGTGGCCAGGTGCAAATCCCATCACTTCTCTGAGCCTTGGTTTGCTAATCTACAATGGAGCAGAGAGTGGTACCTGCCATCTAGACATTGTAGGAACCATTTTATAAGAGGCTTAAGAATTTCAGTCAACTAGCTTTGTGTGCCACAAATATTACTTTGCTTATTTCTTAAATGGCTGAACTTTAATTTCTGTTCCAAGTTCCTACCCTTCTCAGTGCTATAGAAATCTCAGTCAGTCCAAGATGCCCCCTTCACAACACCGCCTGCATGTTTTGGGGTGGGTTTATGGGATATCCAGGGAGGAGGCAAGCTCTGCCTGGGGTATGCAGCCTGCCACTGGCGTCAGGCAGGCAGTCCTCAGAGACCTTATTCCTGCACATTGTGTGATAACTGTGCTGCGCTACAGTGGGGTTTCTCAGCCCAGAACCAAGTTCACTGACTTTCTGGGGATTCTCTGCAGTCCCTCTGCTTAGGTTCCTTTCAGGTGCAGGGGGAAAAAGCCTTCTTATTGAACCTCCACCCCCAGAAGAGACACTCCAGGGCTCCCCTGGAAAGCAAAGACACACAGGTCATAGCTACAAAATGTCCCTTCCAGGAGAGGGCTGTTAAGCCAAGAGGGGGCCACGTCCACCCTCCTAGATGTCTGCAGTCAGCTCCTGAAGTCCACCAAAGCCCGACTTCCAGTGCCTTGTGAAACATCAATGCAGGCTTCACCTGAGCCAAGGACAAACTCCACTCTTTCACTAACAGGTCACACTTTATTCAAGACGTTTTATCAGACCTTTGTGAGTTAAAATTCATGAGAGTGACCCTGCTGTTTCCCTGTCATCTCTGTCCCTGAGGCAGTGAATGTCACAGGTCTCCACTGTAGGGCAAGTTCAATGGTCACAGAAAATAACAGAAGAAACCTCTGTGAATATCTTATTTTATATTTCCTCATTTCTGCAGACTCTGACCCGGAGTCAGCCCTTGTCTAATGGCCACTATGACTCTTTCTCCTCCTTCCTCCCTCTGCCCCTCCTGCCTCTGGGCGCCTTCCCTCTTCAGGCAGAGGCAGCAGCTGTGACTGCAGCAGAGCTGGGAGCTGGAGCAGCACTGACAGGTTCAGGGCCAGGCAGTGCCAGGGGCACCTCATCCGCTCATGGCTGGCATTATTACTAATCATCAGGTGCCGGGTCACTGCTCCCTCCTCCCTCGGCTCCCTCCCTCTGAGGTCCTTATCTGTGGAGGCCCAGGAGGGAAAGCAGACCCCTTCTGCCCACTGGCTGGCTGGTTGGTGGGGCTGCAGTCCCCCCCCCAAACTCAGAGAGGCCCCAGGATGGGACTCTGTGCATCTCCCCTCTGCATCAGTCCCTGAAATTACACCTCACCTGTGTGCCCCCAGTGAACTGCTGCCTACCTAGATAAACAGCTACAAGCCATTTGCAAAGGGCAGCAGGAAAGCTTGGCGGAAGACTTGGGGTGGGGGCTCTGAAGCAGAGCATCTGTGTCCAAGGCCAGACCCTCTGCTGACTTGCCTGTGACTCTGCGCACTCTAGTAAACCTCCCTGTGCCTTTCCTGTCTCAGAAATAAAATGATAGATAATGAAAGTGCTTTCCTTATGAGGCTATTAAATGATTAGGTGAGAACGGACACTGACTAACACCTAGAAAGAAGATGGTACAGGATGGCTATGTTGTTGGTATAATTGTATAATGTAAGAACTATGAAACCCAGGACTAAGCACAGGTACCCAAGGAGATGATGAATCCATTGTTTGCGTGCACTTTAGAGTGATAAGAAATGTTAACCCAATGGCTGTCCTCACTGCCCCCACAATTTCAGTTTCCCCCTCCTGCCCCATGGTCACCCCAGGCCACCCTCATCCCACCTCCCGTCTTCTCAGTCCTGGACTCTTCCTTTAGTCCTTCCTGGCCTCAGTTGGGCTCCTCCTACCCAGCTGCATCCTTGATTTCTCCACCCTGACCCTTACCTTCCTAAGCTGACCTCGACCTCCAGCTTTGCTGAGCTTTTGGTTTCTCCTTAAGACTTTGGGTATTTCTGGCCAGAGCCAGGGCTCTGTCTTTGCTGGCACAGGGAAAGAGGTCATTCTCATAATTTCTTGGTGGTGACTGAGAGAGTATAGTGAGTTCTTTGCCTGCTGTTTGCTCCCTTAGACTGTGAGCTCCCTGTAGTAGTGAGCCCAGCGCCCCGCAAGCTCCAGGTTGCTCCAAGTGTGCCAGACAGGAGCTACTCATTGAACTGAATGAATGGATCAAATCCCTTCCTGTCATCTTTCCTCCTGAGGAGGGGGCTTCTTCACCAAGTGGCCATGCATGTGCTTCAGAGGGAGAGCAGCAAACTCTGTGAATTCTGCACTAAGTATGAGGGTGTGGTATGCATGCAAGGTTATTCTGGGTTGGGGTGGGGGTTGCAGCTGTCATCAGGTGCTTTGATGTTTGTTTGAACCCTTTCCCCTTACTACCCATCCTCCTCACAGCCCCAGGGGGCTATTTATCAATATTCATGAAGTGCTGGCACTCAGGGCTCAGGTCTCCAGGAGTATTCTCCTTCTCTTGACTCCCCCTCCCCCCCACACACACTCCCAGCAGGCAGGATCTGGGTAACTCCAAGGGCTTTGCTGCCAGTGTCTTAACTGCGTGGGTGGCTGCACTCTGTCTGAACTCTTCCCAGCCCCCAGTGGAGACTGTGCCAGTGCTGGAGCATGAAGGAGGATCCCTTGGGGCAATGCAGCCATCAGGACACACAGAGAAGGGTCTGTATCCTGGCTTCCCCGATGTCCCCTGCATCCCACATTAGCGCTGCTCCCTGGAAGGACGTGATCAGCCTCGACAGATGAGGCCATGCTTGATATACAAGGATTTGGTCGGGAAGAGGCACCTCTCAAACCCAAGTCGCCCACAAAGGTTCACTTTCCTGGAAAAAAGGAGGAAAAGGTACAAGAAAAAGGGACTGAAAGGTGAAACTGATGAAAGGAATTAGTGCTTTTGAGACAGTGCTGTGTTCCAGCCCCCGGGGAGACTTCATGCCCGCACATTTCTCATCACAATTACTGTCAACTTTATGCTGCTACAGATGTGGATGTTGGTGTAATTGTTTGTTTTGTTTGCAAATATGTAAACTTAAAGCTCTCAAAGTTCAAATAGCTAGCTCAAGGTCATACAGCAAACCCAGGATTTAAAATCTGATTTCCCTGACTTGATACCTTAGCTTCTTTGTTTTCCTGACCTCTAAAGTCCTATGTGTATTTGTAGCATCACTTTACAGTTTGCACAAGGTTGACCTACCTGGCTTCTCCAAGCACCTACAGGATACTCCTCAGCCTGTACTCTTTCTTCCTTATGTGAACTCTGTCTGTAGCGACTAGTTGATTTGATAGTCCTAGACTACTGATTTCCTTAGGGCAGAGGCTCTTGCCTCTTCTTGCTCATTATGGCCTATTTATTTAGGATGGTGCCCAGCAGATAGATGCTGCTTAGTAAATACTCACTGAGTGAATGACTAAGTAACCAAGCCCCAGAGCAAATGACAGTACAAGTCATTTGCAGAGTATTTACAGAGAGACAAAAACCCTTTCCCTTGACTTGATCTTATCCTGTCCTATTGCCAACCCCGGGAGCAACTGTGTGCATCTTCACAGGTGAGAGCCACAGACACACTGAGTACGAGAAGAGGGAGCTTACCCAGAGCCAGATGATGACGCAGTTTCCCAGCCTAAGCGATCTGAGTGTGTATATTTGTGGAATACTTAGAATGTTCTGGACAAGGCTGAGCTGCACAGGGATGGGGCAGGGGGTGTACACAAAGCAGGAGGAGCCTTGGCCTTTGCCTTTCTAAAAGCTCCCAGTCTATTTGAGGAGGCCAGACTTATGCATGCAGAACATTTGGGAAATGGTACAACACAGCCGTGAGCAGAGTGCTGAATTGCACATAATCAGGTGCCAACCACATTCCCTTCCTTAACTAATCTGAGCCTTTTAATACCAGATGGGGACCCTGAGAATAGATTTCCTATCAAACAGATGAAGCACAAACATGGAAACCATGGGGAAGGGCTAGGGCCTACTTATTTCTATACCTTCTAACATAGCACAAAACTTGGCCCATAGCCTCAGGAGCAGCAGCAGTCCGCCCTCAGCATAGGCCACCACCCTATGTTCCAGATACCTATTAAGCACCTAACAATCATCATCTTACCACCCCGCCCAGAGATCTCTGAGACAGTTATGCATGCAGTGCACAAGAAGATGAATGCAGGGCTCTGAGCATATGCTCATCAGGCTGTAAATCAAATAGCAAAGAAGCAAAATCAGGATTGGACCTCAGTTCTAGGAGCATCCCATACTCCGGCACCATATACTTGCATTTATGGTGGGGAGAACTAATATTCCCCATGAAGATGGGAAGAGGCCTGGCTGAGGGAACAGTCAGTGGGAAGGAGGGAAGAGAGGAAAGAGGGAATAAAGGAGGAATGGAGAAATGAATTAAGAGAAAGAGGGAAAGGAAAGGAGGGGTAAAAAGGACAGGGCTCATGTGCTGCATAAACTCAGACAAGCAAACACAATATGCTAGCAGGATCTCTGCAGGCCTCTGACAGCCTCACCTTGCCTTCCCCTCTAACAGCCTCAGAGGGTGCCCTAGAGTCTGACTTGGAGGCTCATCTCACAAGGAGGGCCTTGCTTCCAGAGCCTTCTAAGACCACAGCCTGATCCTGGGGAGGGTGCTTATCTGCTCAGACAGCCATCACAAAGTGCTGTAGGCTTGGTGGCTTAAAAACAGTTCTGGGGACTGGAAGCTCCAGCTCAAGGTGCCAGCAGGGTTGACATCTGATAAGGCCTTTCCCTTTACATTGCTGACCGCCACTGTCCCCTACTGCACTCATATGACCACTTCTTTGTGTGTGCAGGGGAGAGAGACTGGCTTGGTCTCTTTTCCTTGAAGGACACTAACCCTGTCATACTACAGCTCTATCTTTATGACCTCATTTAACCTGAATTACTTTCCTAGAGGCTTCATCTCCAAATACAGCCACATTGAAACTTCAACATTATGAATTGCAGGGGGCAACATAACATTTCTGCCCATACCAGGGAGAGTAGGGAGAGATGAGATATGGAGGTACACCCTGAGCTAGCTCACCTTCCAGGGCAAAAGGATCTATGGTCTTTGGAACTATGGTAGGATGGTGTTGTCAAGATCACCTTAGTGAGCTCACTATGTCAAGGGCCATAGGACAGATGGCCTGTGCATCCAGATCAACTGGCAGAAGTCTTCCAGGGCACATCTGGTCCTGTCTCTCTCCCTACCCTGCAGAGTTTTCTGTTCTGTGCTACAAGTTCCCAATTGGTAGCATTTGGGTGTGCTGTTATCTCTGTCACCTCTTGTCATACCCTTGACCATGTATTCTCATTTAGACACGTTCTTCATGAATGTCTCTTGGGTGGCATCTCTTCCACCATACAGAGTGTGTGTGTGTGTGTGTGTGTGTGTGTGTGTGTGTGTGTGTGTACCTGCATATAATACCTGTCCTAGGGCATCATCAGGAATAAATGAACTACTACTTTGTCTCTAAATATGTGGCCAATGGTAGATATGCTATGAATAACTGTTGAATGAATGAATGAATTTTCACTTGGGAGACTGTGCTTCTCTCTATTATGAGCAAAGGTGATATAGTAATTATCTGATTTTACTTGCCAACTGGGTCACTGAGCAAAGAAATTTGGTTCCTTCATTCAGCATACATGGACTCTACCCCTTTCATAAACTAGGGGTTGGGCAGACAGAATAGAGCTAAACCAGTATGGTTCTGCCCTCAGGGACTCAGGGTTCATAGAGGGACAGGCACAGAAAAGCACAATGAAAATCAAAGTAATAACATTAACAGGAAATGAAACCTCATGTGCCTTGGGGACCCCAGGGGCCACTGGCTTGGGATCAAGAGATATTCATGAAGGAGATGGTACCTGAAGCAGATGTTCAAGGAAAAACAGCAGCTCGTCAGATGTATAAAGGGATGAGAGACATTTTAAGTAGAAGGAGTAGATGTGCAATGACCCTGAGGCAGGACCACATTTGAGGAAGAGTGAGGGTGGTGTATGGCCAAAGGACAGGAGGCCTGGTAGAAGTACCTAGGTCACAAAAAGCCCAGCTGTTGGACGTTATATTGATGACTTTGCGTCATTCTCATTGCTCAGAGGAAGCCAATCACTAAAACCTCCAGAGGCTCTGATCTGTGAGACGGAGTGATTCGTGATTTTCCTGTACGCTGCCTCTGTAGAGCATTGTGGGGAGAAGCTTTGGTGGCCCCAGGTGCTCTCTTGCTCACAGGCATTCAGGCTGTGCTGAGATTAGCAGAGCCAGAGTATGAGGTGGCTTGGTGCTCCTCCAGAAGTGTCTCTGAGAGGCTGCAAAGACCTCTGCGACTGGTGCCGTGCTTTCTTCAGCAAAGAGCCCTCTGCTTTCCTTAACTGATCCTCTGGTTACTCCATGCTTCAGCACCAGCCCTGGCAAGAAGGAGATAAGGGTTGGTCCCTATGTCCTTTTCCAGCATGCAGCGTTCCAGGCCTCCAGGTCTAGAGAAGCCCTGAACTGACAGGAGAACTGAGGCTTTGAATTTGGTGGACCCAGAGCAGGTCTCTTCTCTCCAGCTCAGTCCCCTCCGTACCCCCATTGGCCAATAGGAAGGTCCCCAGGAGGTAGTGACAGAGCCCTGGAAATTGTGTTCTAACCTCACTTCCTAGCTGGGTAACTCCAGGTAGATGTGTTACCCTGGTGAGCCTCCAGTTCCTTCCATGGTGATGATCAGGCCTGCACTGCCTAACTAGAGGGGCTTTGGTGGGAATCATGGGGAGTGATGCAGCCCCACTGTGGTGGGCAAAATGCACATGAAAGGAACACATGTTAATACACCTTCCTGCTGCTCAAAATAAGATTTGCTAGAATCTGAGAAGGCATAAAGTGTCATATAGGTGAAGAATATTCTTCAGGGTCTTGAGGCCAAGTTCAAAGCCACCTGTAGTCCTGGAGGGATGGCTAATGGGAGAAGCAGCACCAGGGTATCCCTGGGGCAGGACTGTGTCTCTGTGGCTATGAGCCTTTGTGAGTGGGGTAACTGTGATTCCATTTCGTACTGTGCATGCATCTGCATGCTGATGTTTCTGTCTGCATCCTGGTGGAAGCACATAGGTGCACCACTGTGTGTATAATGGGCTTTGGGTCTGTCTGTGTATAACAGCAGTGTCTACGTGGGCTCGAGGGGCAGTGCATACATTTCTGTGGGTCTATGTGAATGTGCATCTTTATGAGGCCATATGTTGGGGGATTCCGCTGCAGACATGGTGTGCATTTGTGTGGCCATGAGAAAAACCACTGGGTGGGGGTTTGGAAGCAGCCTAGGCCAAGGATTCTCAGCGCTGATCTGAAAGGGTCTGAGTCAGCACCCTGGCAGCTCATGCTTAAAGAAGGGGAGGCTCTTTCTCAGTCCTCCTGGAAGAAGTCTTTGTCTTTCAGCACCCCAAGAAAGGAGTAGACCCAGACCTTTTCTTTCAGCCAGAAGACAGCGCAGAGAAGAGACTGCTTCCTGATTCCTCTGTCACTCCACACCTGCCAGGTAGCTGCCTGCTGCCCTTGTCCTCTGCTGGCCAGAGAGAAAGTGAAGACCAGAGAGAAAGGAGGGGAAGATAAGAGCTCAATCCAGGTTCCAGGGGACCCAGAGCCCCTTCCCCTCCCCAGTTCCTGCACAGAGTAGGAGGGCTGCTCTCCCCTGAGGGATGTGTGTTTCTCATCCCTTCCTGGGTGGTACGAACTCTCCCACCCCAGGAATCCAAGCATTGAGTTAATATGATTTCCTTTGAAGTCAAATTGGCATCACAAAGCAACACACACACACACACACACACGCACGCACACGCACACACACACACACACACACACACACACACACACACGCTTGCTCCCGCGCTCACACGTGTTCTCCCTGGGTGCAATCTGCTGCCCTCTGAACCCCACCCAGCAGCTAGGTGCCTAGTCCGGATCTATCTGCCCAGAAGCCCTCCTGATGTTCCCTATCCACCTGGCCCTTGGGGTGTGCAGAGTGCGGGCAGCGGGGCCGGCGGGACGCCCCTGGAGCTCTCGCCCCCGCCCCGCCCCTCCGCGGAGCCCCACAGGCTGCGCCTGTGCCGCTCAGACTCGCGCCCCGAGCGCAGGCAGGCGGGCGGGCGCGCAGCTCCGCTCCGCGCCATCCCCGACTCTGTTCATTCATGATTGGTACTCGGCCCCCCGAGACCCAACCCAAGCGCCGGGTGCAGAGCAGAGTGTGCGGCAGTAGGGGGTGCGGACACGGCTCCCGCACCGCACGCGGCGCGGGCTCGGCAGCCTTGGCCGGGCAGGCGCTCCGGCCCCGTGTCGAGCGCCAGGCAGGCTTCCGGGCTTGGTTCTCGGCCCCTAGCAAGGGCGCGGGCCCGGCTGGGATCTGGCGTTGGGGTGCAGTGGCTGAGGTTCGCCGGAGCAGCGGGCCCTGTGAGTCAGTGCATGTGCAGGGCTGAGGGCAGAAGCGAGAAGCCTCCCGGCGCCCCAGCCCCACGCTCGCTGAATACCAACCTGCAGGCGAGCTGCCAGAGCTCTTTGCTTTTTTCCTCCTCCAATTCGGAGTAGAGGATTCACACTGAATCTTCAGGGGAGGGGAGCGGCAGGGTCCAGGGTCCCAAGTCGCGTCCAAGTCTTCGCTGCCATGGGGGCTGTCATGGGCACCTTCTCATCTCTGCAAACCAAACAAAGGCGACCCTCTAAAGGTAAGCACTCCTTCCTTTTGTTTCCCCGGGCGGGCTTTGGGGTGCTGGGTTGCTGAACCCCGGTACTCCATCTGCCTCCCTTATTCCCGGCCCCCTCTCCACGAGGAGCCGGGACAGGTTCTCCTACCCAAAGGAGTGTGAAACCCATGAGAGGGTTGGTGTGAACACCCAGAGGAGGGAGCCAGTGTGGGTGCAAGTCTCAGGGCGCCTGGAGCCCTCTGGGGCAGGTGTACATGCCTCCCCTCCAGAAAATCTCTAGCACCAGAAGGAGGAGCCCAGTTCACAGGTGGGGATGGCTGGATTCTCTGGGTGCAAATGTGGGGAAGCTCTTGCTGTTCCCATGATGGCTAGTGGTGGTGCACCCCTGAGCCAGGGAGCTCACACTCATGCGGCCCCTCCTGGGAGTCCCACCTCAGGGAGTGGGTGCTCTGCCTTCCCATCCTCAAAACCTCTGCAAGCCAAAAGGAATCAGCTACTGCCAGGTGGTAAAACTCCCTGTGCTCGTGTCCTGGTGGTTCAAGGAGTCAGTAGGAGTGAAGGCAGTCACAGGAGGTGCTGCCAGGTCCAGGGACCTCAGAGGAGGTGAGGGCACTGTCCAAAACTGAGTGAACCAGAGTTTACACCATGGAATGAACAGCCTAATACCCTGTAGTACCTCCTTCCTGGAGTCTGTTCTACAGCTTCTTTACTCAGCTGAACTGTTCCCTATTTCACCAGTGAGAGAGTTGTCAAAGAGGTCCATGTGAAGTCATGCAAACATTTTGGGCTGTGGTGCGGGATAACCAGCAGTTGCAAAGTTTCTTGTTGGGATACAGAAACTGGAAGCAATTAGGAAAGGGATAATGGTGGGTTTTGTTTTACTTAACACTCAAAAGCCATTGTGAATAGTATAAGGATTCTAGTAACCTAACAAACATTTAACTTCTGCCATTAGAACTCAGATTCTGGTTACAGATAGGGTTTACAGCTTCCCATACCTCCTGTACTGGCTTAGAACTATACTAGGGTGAGGATGGCCCCCAAGTGCACAGTGAATCCACTCTTAGGACTTGGATTGTCTTACCTTGGTTGAGGCACAGAGCTCCTCAGGTGGAAGCTGCCCTTGAAAGCCCCAGAAATTAGGATTCCAGCTTCTTGCCCAGCCCTCAAAGCATTACTCTAGCTAAACACCAAGGAAAAAGATCTCTGGGTGCAAATGCTAAGTGATAAGCCTGGGCTGCCATTTATAGCCCAGCACAGGAGAAATAGCGTCAGCCTATTTGCTAGCTGGGTTCCATATTGTCCTGGAAAGGAAGGGGTGGGTTACCCTTCTACAAGTCCTGAGCTGCACAGCTCTGCAAGCCTCAGGGCAGGGCCATGATGTTTGGAGCCCCCTGTACACACAGATCCTGGGGTGCTGCTTGACTGGTGACAGTGTTCCCTCCACATTCAGGCCTCTTCCCTGTATCTAACCACCATATGGCTCCTGGGGCCAGGCAACTGTAGGGACAGGAAACTCAGGAGTATATTGTAAATTTTTCAGTGCCTGCTCTATCCTTAAGAGGCGTCCCAGCAGATCTCAGAATCCAATAAAGCCTGGTGGGAAGCTTAACCCCATCATTACTTTCCTGTGTGACCTTAGGCAACTCCTCACCCCTCTAAGCCTCAGTTTTCATATCCATAACATGGCTGAGACTGCTACATCCCAGAGAAGAATGTGGCATGTAGGAAGTGAAGGGAGGGAAGACCTTAGCCCATAGACTGTTGGATGCAGCCATCATGGAGGTCGTTGCAAGGATATGAGAGGAACAATTGAAAGATGGACACAGAGCTCCTTGCATAGGGTGTGAAAAAGAGTAAAAGCTCAGATATTACTGTCTATCATTTGCTTCTCCTACCCAAAACTTTAGGCCACTCAGGATCAATTCCTGCAGGATTCTAAGACACCAAAGCTTGTGCTTTTCTCTCCCAGGATCCTAAGAAAGATAAAATGGGTACCAGCATTCAGTGTGCCCCTACTCAGTGCCTGTAACAGTGCTAGTTATTTTATCCACACAGTCTCATTTAATCCTTATCATAGTGTTTGTTTAAGGCTCCTAGTAGGTCCAGGCCTTTTGAGTGGCCCACAAGACAAGCTACGTGAGTCCTGATGCTCAGCCCCTCCTGCTCTGATCCCTGGACATTGCCTAGAACTCTCCAGGAGTCCAGCTGCAGCTTGTAAGATGTTTTCTCCCAGACCCGAGTCTTGCTCAGTAAAGTACTAATCATCACAAGACCCCTCCAAGAGAGGCAGCTTGGAAACATGGACAGAACCTTGGCTGGGGGAATCACATCCTGGCTGAGTGAGCTGAGCGCCTTGGTTTCTGTGCAACGATGAAGTTACATTAGACATTGTCTCAGGTTCTATTTGGTTCTCAGATTCTAAGATTTTTATTGTCAAATGTTCTCACCAGAGCTGCTGCTATGATCTCTGAGACATCAGGCTCAGATCTAATTAGATGCAGTCAGAAGAGAATGGTTGGAATTTTTCAACGCAGGAATCAGTCTCCCTGCTGGGTTCAAATCCAGGCTCTACCGCTTACTAGCAATATGACTAAGCCTTGTTTTCCTCAACTTTAAAACTGGGACAGTAGTAGTGACTGTCTTAAAATAGCTGTTGTGTTGTGTGCCTTCCAGTAGCTATGCAAGGTAAATGTTTCAATACAGCCTCTGCTACAGAACTGGTCAGCAAATTTTAAGAACTACTCTGTTTATGGCTCTAGTGTTCGGGCCCTCCTAATGTCCAGAGTAAAGCCATCCTGGAAGTGGACAGTACAGAAATTGTTGTCAGCTTATTTTTGGAAATTTCTTCTAGACCTGCCCAAGCAACTAGGACATAAAACTCAGGTACTGAGATGCGTACAGCCCCCAGTGACCTGTGCTCTGTGGCTGATCCTGAAAATGTCATAGCCTCCTTAATTAAAATCCTGTATACTTTGAAAGTACACCTTGGAAACACATATATGTCTTTAAAATAGGACAAAAATTCCACACAGTTAGTGCTGCAAAAGGAATGTACTTAGCCCAAGCCGGGTACTCAGGGAGAGCTCCCCAAAGACAGCAGAAATCTGAAATAAATTCAGAGCTCTGTCACTGAATAAAGGCATTGAAATTCACTTTCTGTCTTTCTTTCTTTTTGGGATCTTTTCGTGTCTTCAATTAAAAATTGGAAAAGCCATGCTTTTGGGATTCAGCCTCTCCATTCCAGTCTGGGAGGAAATTCATGGCTCCAATAGTGAATCAAGGACAAGGTTTCTAGGCTTGAATGGCAGTTGGGTTCTGGAGATAACATGAGGAAAATCCTGAAGGTGCACTGTGGGGCCTGTGGGAAGCAAGAGGACTAAGAAAAATGTCGCTAGTCCAGGCCCATCCCAAGAGAGACTTGCCTATAATCCCACTCTTCCATGAACTGCTGCAAATATTCAGAACTTATAGAAAGGCCAAGCACATCTCTGGAATCGCTCATTGAGTAGGCGAGTAAACAAAATCTCATAGCTGTTACTGATGCTTCTTTTAAGGCCATGTGGAAAGACAGAGAGAAATATGGGACCAACATCCTGATTCCTAATTCAGTGAGCCTCTTGGAGAATTTCCTAAGGCAAAATGTACCTGATGAGCTTCAGCTTGTGATTTGTCAACAGGAGACAAGCAAGTGACACAGTCACAGTGAAGCAGTGGTCCTGCAATGACATAGTCCTGGCCTCAAGACAACTTTCAAAAATCATTTCACTGAGAAACACCAGTTCCTGCATCTGGAAAAGGGCAATACTAAGTGACAGGCAGGCTTGTACCTTGGGCTTTACCCATGTCTGCATGTTTGACCATATTTCAATTATGTAATACCCTCCACACATACCCACTCGTAGCTCTTAGCTCACCATTGAAAATCCCACCTAGTTTCCTAAAACCTCACTCAGTTGTTTCCATATTCAAGAAGTCTTCTCCAAGCGCCAGAGAGGAGTGACTTCTCCCATCTGAATTTCTAAATGCTTTTAAGGTGTATGTTCTCATAATTAAACAATCATGCTTGGAATTAAGCAGTCCGTGGAGATGTTAGCTCCCCTTCTCCATTTCAGAGTATTGAGGCAGGAAACTTGTCTGAATCATTCTTCCCAGTCCCAAGTGTGGTTCATTGCACACAGTAGTTACTTGATAAATATTTTCTTGAGAAATTTTAAACAATGAAATGGTTGGCTACTCTCTATTATTTCCTGGAATTGCAGAGCCTGCAGGAAAAGTTAACTTCCTGCTGGAATTTCAGTTACCAGCCCTCTGCCTGGGATGAATTCTGTTATTTGGTCTGTTGGCTTTGAATTGACTTTGTCCATGAAATGTACTAAATCTGTTTACCATTTAGCAGAAAAGTGCTGAGAACAGTGTTCCTACTTCCAGTCCCTGATATTCACAAAAGTATAAACCCACACTCAGTGGAACTACAGATGAACAATTAGAGGGAGATGGAAAAAACTAGACAGGATAGCTAAAGGGTCTGACTTACTGCCTAAAACCAGGACAATTTTTCAGTCTGGGCCCTGGAAAAGAGGAGGGCTTGTGTTCCTTGACTACCTGGAGGAGATTTGCTTAATAAATGCTTTGTAAGTATACAAGAGCATAACTTAACAAATAAGTGAAAGAATGATGGGGACAGGAATGAGAGAACAAATAAATAAGCAAATGAGTGAAGGAACAAATGAATAATCCAATGAATGATTGAGTAAATGAGTGTGTGAATGGATGATTGTATCCATAAATGAATGAACATATGATGGAATATTTTTTAAAAAGCTCTAATAAATAACCGTTTTTTACAGAGAACATTGATAATCATGCTATCCATATCCATATCCTGGTAAGCCCCCATCTTAGTCTCATCTCTGTTGCTAATGACAATATCATAAAGTGGGTGCATTTTAAAGAAGAGGCTTGTTATGGCTCACAGTTCTGGTCCGGGTTGAGCGCCCATATCTGGCAGTGGCCTTCTC